TGGTAAGGTACACATGAATTAAAACAACATGGTCCTAAAGAAACATTTAAATGAACATAGTCAAATTCAAAATAGGAAATATAAATAGAGCAAAAGTTTTACAGTCTATTATTCACATCTTTGGCTTTCTAACTTTAACCTACCATTTACCAACTCTGTAAGTATTGCTTAGAAAACATTACAGCATACTTTAAACGGTTTGCAGAGAAATTGTGAGCTGCAGTTTCCATTAGGAAGGTCTACATGATGTTATATGAATGGAACCCAAACGTAACAAACATCATGATCTACATTTTTAACTAAGCTTGGATACCTGGTACACTTACAGGGAAAAGAAAAAACCAGACTCCTTTATAAGTTGCCATTTCATTAACTGCTTCTAGGTGTCTATAACTGTTTCATTTTCCCATCATATCTTTTATTTTTCCTTACTTTCTGGCTGGGTTGACTATCATATACCCAAGCTTATCGTCACAGCTGAGTATTGAGGAGGAGCTCAGGTACACAGTCAAATCCAAAGTCTAATATATAACTCAATATGGCATACTGCAAACAAGTCTTGCCATTTTCCTATACAGTATAAAGACTATGTAATTATTTATTATCACCTTACTAAACTATAATGGGAACTTTGGATCCTATCCCTATGCTATGGAATAGAGCTTCTACTTCTGCTGTGGGAGACTAATCTGTCACCAATTTTCCCAGTCAAGAATAGGAGACCTGATTACCAGCAGAGGCAAGGTTTTCATAGAACTTTGATTCACCTCACTAAAGTACTTAAAAAATAGTATAGTTATTTATACTTGTATCAAATTCTGCTATTAGAAATGGAAGCTCCAAGAGGACAGCAATTGTCTTATCCAATCTTTCCATCACTCTCACCCTCTAGGACAGTGCTACATAGAAAGGAAGAAATACATGTGTATTGAATTAAATTTCCCACAGCAGATGAGATTCATTGATGAGTGAATCATTTTGATGCACTTTGAAAACACTCTTTAGCAACAGATATGGAAGACTGAATGCATCCTTTTGTCAATCAAAAATAGCCTGGGAAAAATGCTTCAGTAGTGAGGAATAAGGTGGTTCCTAGAAACGAAGCACATACACTCTGGATAAAATAACATGGAGGAATTATTACTTCAAAAAACTTGCCTTAGGGCACATGAAATCAGTAGAAAAGAGGAACAGGAGAATAAATATACAGAGCAAGGCATTAAAGTGCCTATTTGAAGGCTTCCATAAATTTAAAGTTGTCGATGGAAAGCTTATATCATTTTCATATAAAATTTTTCTAGTTCACATGCCAACACAATCCCCCAAAAAACTTTTATCAACATTAGTAATGGACACTGAAACTAGACAGAGTATTCTCTAAAATTTATTTACAGTCAATAAATTAAAGAGCAAAATACAACCAGATTATAAACCTTGATCATATCCACATCAAATAGAACTGTCCAGGGAAACACTTCAGTCCCATAACGAACAATTGCTTTCTAATGCACTTAAGACATAACAGTCTATATAAAAGGCTTTAAACACACCAATCTAAAGCAAGTATTTTATATATCTCCATTAAAAACCATCAAATTCAAGACTGCTGTGGCAACACTGATTTTTAAAAATCTACAATGAATTTCATAATTACTTGAACTTTTTGTATTCAAATATTTTAAAATGTATCTCTATTTAGGAGTTCTCAGAAAAAAAATAATCCTATGATTTACACATTGGGTCAAGAGCTATCAGCCACCAGCATCAAAGTAACACATGTCCCATAGAGTGTTCAAATTGGACAAAGTAATTACACACCACAACAGCAACACTCAGTTATCAACAAGGAAGTATGCCCTCAACAATCATCAGTTTATAGGTTTCTAGTCAGGGAAGTAGGATGCTGGTTGGCAGGAAGTAGGGTCAAAGTGAAAATAAAGAATCTAAATGTTATTTAAAGCACCCATCATACTTAGGCACTCAAAAAAATATGGCAAGAAAAGTTGGTAAATTCCTTTCTAGCTTACACTCCATTTGTGCCATGTGAGATGTAAAGATAAGAGAAGGCAAGAGAACAAATGAGAATCATGGGATTTAAGGTTGCTAAAATATTTTATACAAGCTGAACTACTTATTTACTTTAGACGGTGGTGGTAAATGAGTGCTCTACCCTCCCTTGCCAATAAAGGCCATTGTGCTAAGATTTACCTTCCACACAGTTGCCAAAAATATTGTACTTATCAACTACATTAGAGGCTTCTTCGTATTTTAGAAATTACATTGGCTTTATTTAAAAAAAAGAACTTGGAAAAAATTAAAAAAAATTCACACCATACTTCACAAACTAGAAATGGCATTGTTTTGTGAGATCATATAAATTACATATTGGACTCAGGATGGGCAATTACATCCAACTGAAACAAAGAAAAATCTAGGGAAGCATTTATGTAAGTCAAAAATTTACTAAATTTCAAAAGCATAAGAGGAAAAGAAATTAAGAACCTTATTCAAAATAAATACATGGTGTCAACTGTTGTTTCATAGTTATGTGCTGAGCAAGAATTATAAAATTCATCCTCCAAGAGAACTCTGACTTCACAATCATCTAGGAAATATCTGGATAATCTATAGACTGCAGTTACATCCTAATATGGCCATTAGGTATGTTTTTAAAACTTAAAATCTTATAAAACTACACAAAATGGCATCAATGATGTAGTACAAACATGTTTTTCCACATACCTAAAAATTAATATTAGGTTCTCCAAAAGGAATACTACGCATCAGAAATACAACTAGATATGAAAACTTGTAACCCAAAATATAAATCTAGGCTTCCATAATAGTTATACTTTAACATTTCTTCATCTTCTAATAAATTATTCACTTTTATTTACGCATGTGACTGTATTGATTAAAAAAAAGTCATGGAATAAGTGAATTACGGACCATGAGAAGATTGATGAAAAAACTGGCATGAAGTCATTTTTTTACACAAGAAAAAACATTCACAAAAAAAAAAAAAAAATACTATGGACTATTGAATCTGCAAGATCTCATTTCAAAAGCTAAGCCAATATGAGTTCTAGGAATATAAAAGTCAAAAATGCAACTCTTTCCTTATACTCCCTAAGAAGCTGCCAAGCAGAGTTAAACCTCAATATTGAGGATTTCGTATGCCATGTTCCATGCCTGGAATGGATTTTTTCATGGCAGAATAATTAAAATCTTGAAAGATAGTGGTACAAAAAAACACTACTTGACCCTTTAGGTATTGCAGTGATAACTGGTTATGGCACCATGGGCTACAAACCATTAAGTCTTGCTGCCACCATTACCAAAGGCACTTGGATAATCTAGAATCCCACATTTGGCCAGAGTATAAACACTAATATAAAACAGTAATTGAAGGGTTAGCATTAAATGTGGCTAGCCTATTGGTTATTATGGTCTTAGGCTGACAGAAAAAGACCAGAACTGCAGATAATTATGTCGGGAAAGAGGAATCCAAACTTTTATCTTAAACACAAGATCAACAACTTGTTTTTGTCATAATGTCGAGGGATTTTTTTGGAAGAAAAAAAAGTGATGACTGCTAGGTTGGGCATCTCTTGTTATCTAATAACCAAAAAAATAAAAAGCAGCTATTTGGCCCAATTTAAATTACAACCAGTTACTAAATAGCAAGAAATGCTCCCATCCCTCTTGGTCATTACTGTTCAAGTTGTAAAATTATTTTGTGTATTCTGCCTACCATTTTAATAAGAATTTGAACTCATACACATTCATTTCTCATTTACAAATCCTCCTGCTCGGAATAATCTTGCCGAATTTGTATGCTAGACTAGTACGTGGACCCAGGCCAATATACCTCCAGTTTCGTTTGGTGCCATATATCATCCGTGTAACCAACAATAGGTTCTTTAAAAATTAGTTCATTTTTCATCACAACCATGTTGTTTCAACACATTTTAATTTTTATTCATTTTAACTGAATTTAACAAGTCAGCTTTTTCTAAACAAAATGGTATAAAAAAATCAGTATGCAACCATTATCTTCAGGTGCTCAGTAAATACAAACTTAATTCAGATATAAAAATTTTTAAAATGACTAAAAAATGTTTAAACAGTTCTATTTTGTGACTCTTTATAATCACTGAGCCCATGAAGCTCAAAGCCATACAAATCCTTGCACCAATAACAGTCATAAAAGCCCTGAACCTTTTAAAAACGTATACTTAGGTCAAAGCTCCAGGAGCCAGTAAAAACTGGGGAACACATGGGATTCAGAATACCCTGAGCACATACTAGTGCAATACCACGAAACATCCATAAACCTCCGTCCAGAAAGAGGGGTGGCGGTAGTGGCGGTGGTGGAAAAAAAATAAGCTAAGTAAAATCTGGCTTTATTATACAAGCATGAAACAAAATTCCTTTGGAACAATAATGACTTCTTCGGTGGACCTCCAGACCAGTGAGGTAGAGTCCAAAAGGGAGAAAACGGATCTGCCCCCTAGAGTCCAGGCGACTTCTGAGTCTGGGGTGAGGGCTGGGGGAAGGATGTGGTCCTGCCCCTTGGCGAGTCCAGGTGTGTCTCCTCCATCCTGCGGGATCCAGGTGAGGACGAAGAGGAGCGAGAGCCGGGTAGTCCTTCATCCCGGGACGGGGAGCGGGGGTGCGGAGAGAAGCAATCAGATGAACCTTCTTTGCCCATAAAGTGCACTAAGGGGACGCGGTCCAGGCCGGAATTGTAAACACTAGACTGACACTTGTTCATTTCTCCTGGCGGAAGCTCAGTCCCCAGGGGAGGCGGGGGAGGCGGCGGCGGCGGCGGGAGGCATCGACTCCTCGGGGTGAAAAGTGGAGAAGGACGGCGGCGGGGGTCCCACGAAGTGGAAGCGAAGGGCGCCCCGCTCGCGGCCGGCGCACGGGGAGAGGGACGGCGGCGGGAACTGCGGAGGGGTCGGCGGCGGGCCGGGGGGCCGGTCCGCGGGCCAGTCTCAGGACGTGGCCACCGGGAAGCGGCGGAGCCTCACCACGGGCTCCAGGTTGACTCGCAGGACCTGCTGGGCTCTGCGCCGCGCCGCCGCCAGGCTCCGCTCGCCCCACACGTCGTGGCCGACGCGGATGGTGGGGAAGGTGGTCAGCACCGGCGTGGCGGCTCTCCAGATCTCCTCCAGGGTCCGGCCGCCGAAGCGGCCCGCGTGGGGCAGCGGCGGCAGCTGGGGCGAGCACGGGGGCGCGGGCAGGCCGGGGGGCGGCGGCGGGGGCAGCGGCGGCGGCGGGGGCGCGGGCGGGGGCTGCTGGGGCAGCGGCGGCAGCTTCCTGACTCTCCGGGCGGCCGCGGCTCCGGCTCCTCGGCGCCTCCTCCTGGTGGCCGCTCCGGGGGCCGGCCGGCGGGACGGCGGCGACGGCAGCAGCGACGACGGCGGCTCCCCCCGGCGAGCGGGGTGGCTGTTGGCGGCGGCCGGGGGTCCCGGGGGGTCCGGGACCAGGGCCCGGCAGGACGAGTAGCCGTAGACGTCCTTGCTGCGGAGGATATGCGGGGAGAACTGGTGCTTGAGGCTGCAGAGGAAGCTCCAGAGCTCGGCGTCCGAGCTCATGAACTCGGTGCTGCGGGGCATGAAGAGCTTGAAGGCGTCGCCCAGCGCCTTGGTGCTGCCGGCCAGGGACAGCTGCGAGCGCGAGTACACCACCTTCTCCTCCCGCTCCGCCGCCAGCCCGTCCCCTCCTCTGGCCCGGGCGCCGCCGCTGCCGCCGCCCGCGGCCGCCGCCGGGGCTGCCTGGGGCCGCCGCCGCCGCCTCCTCACGCTGCGCCGCATGGGTGCCTCCTCCTCGGGACGGCTGCGGCCGCCGCTGGCTGGGCTGCCTCCCGCCCTCCCCCGCGTTGTCCTCCGCCGGGGCGGCGGTGGCTGCTGCTGTTGCCTCCCGCCCGGCACTTCTTTCGTTACTTTTCTCGCCTCCGCCGCCGCCCCTCCCCCTCAGCCGCCGAGGGCGGAGGACGCGGGTGGATATCCTGCCGCCCCGAACAAAATGGCGCCCGGCGCCCACCCCTGGGCTTTGTCATTGGACACCACCACCCGCTCCCCCCCTTTTCTTCTCTTTCTTCTCCCCCTCTCTTTCTTCCCCTTGCCCTCTCTTTCTTTAAATGTGTCCGCCCTAGGCTCCTCCCACTGTCGTACTGGCCCCACCCATTGGGTGCCCTCGTCAGAAAGGGGAGGGAAGGGGAAGGATGGGGAAGAGTCTAGGTCTAGGAAGATGGTGGCTGGGATGGTTGGGCATGATGGTGATGGTGGTGGGTGTTGGACCTAAGAGTCACCCGAAGTTGGGTGGCGTAGGTTCTGATGGCATGTCAAGAGTAAAGTATGTGCCAATCCCACTATGGCAAGGGAGGGTGGAAGTTACACCCCAGGTGAAGCATGAGTGTGGCTGGAATGCCACCTAGGTCTTCAGTCTGAAAGAAATAAAAGGGATAAGTCATAAAAGATCATTGATTTACAGCCGGAAGGGACATTAGAGATCATCTAGTTCAACTCTTTCATTTTATGGATGAAGAAACGGACTAGTGAGACTCAGGAGGTTAAATGACTCTCTCAAAAGCCACATCTGGATTCAAACCGTGGACAGACTTCTGACTCCAAACCTAGCATTCTTTCCAACCAATCCAAAAGTTTCAGCTATCAACAGAGTGGTGGAATTGGAATATCAATCACTCCCACACTAGGACATCGCATAGTTATAATTTAAACCACCTTCCATCCCCAAAGCCATTGTTATTATTTCTTGCTTTCCACCCTTCCTACACTTAGCTTTCCTATCTCCTAGTCATCTCAAGAATGGTCTAGTGGTCCAGAGACATTTAGTTGATCTTGTGAAATATAAGAAAAACTGTCTGACTTGATAAAAAAAAAGGGGGGGGGGCATTTCTTTTGTGAGATACCCTGCTTATCAAAAAGCAAGATGATAAATTTTCATGATCTAGAAAACTAAATTCTCTATAATAACCTTATTCAAGTAGAGAGGCATTTGAGAATTGAGAATCAATTATAATCGTTGACTCTATGTGACCAGTTTGAATCAATAAAATATTCTATTTGAAGATGTATCTGAAAACACTTCATACTTTGAAATTGTCTCCTCAAACCAATGTGGAGTATTATAGTCATGCATTTATTCACGTAGCTTCAAAAGGGAAAAAAAGCCCATCAAATTACTATTTTACAAAAAAATCCAGTATCATATAAAAAATTAGGGAAAAGTTTAAAATGCATTGTATCTTCAAAGTGGAGAGAAAGAGAAAAAAATTAGGATTCCAGCACTGAATAACGGAAATGAAACGGCAAAAGAGAAGAGTGCTAAAAAAAAAAAAAAAAGCTTAAAAGATTTTATGATATAATTTTTATTTATACTTTATTTTAATCAGAAGTAACTAGAAGTAGTTTAATTCTTTCACTTCAAGAATTCTCAGATTACAGTATATAGAGGTATGGTTGCATACCTAACCAGTTGGTTGGATGGTTGAATGATGTAGTTACAGTGAATAAGTTGTTCACTATTCAGATTCCAAATTGTAATGTGGAAAGATCTAAGAGACCATCTACTCCAACTCCTCATTTTATAGAGGAGGAAACTGAGGCTTGGGGAGGTTAATTGACTAATCCAAAGTTACACAGTTAACTAGTGTTGGAGCTGTGAGTAATTCTCAGGGCTCCTAGTTTCCTAGAGTCCATTGCTCTTTTCAGCACAGGATGATGATGATGATGATGATGATGATAATGATGATGGCGGCTTATATTTATCTAGCACCTTTTTATGTTGTTTGCAAAGCACTTGACATACATTATTTCATTTAATCCTCACAACTCTGAAGTAAGAACATTAAGTATTGCACGTGAGGAAAACAAAGTCAAGAGGGCAGTGACTTACCCAGGATCATGCATCTGGTAAATATCTGAAGTGAAATGTGAACACAGCTCTTCCCATCTCCCAGTCTAATATTCTATCCAGTATATTATACTCCTGTCACATCACAAGACTCCTAACTCCTAGGCTAATACTTCATTCACTAAAATCACAGTAACTTTCTGCAGATAGGTATTTTATAAACTCTTTGAGGAAGAAGATTCTAATTTATCACTGTGTCCCTCTGACATTGCCTTAAGAATACTAGATGCTCCAAAAATGTTTATAGAAAAATCATTTCCTGGAAAAGTACATACAAGTACACAAGATCATGAAACCAAGTTTGGAGATGACATCTAAAATATAATAGTTTCCTGTGCCCTTAAAAGGTCTCAATATCTCTTTCTATCACTATTCTCTCAATATTTCTGGGAATACATAGGAATATGAAATTTGAATAATTCCCATTGGGATCTTCCAGGGAACTGACTTTGAAAATCATCAGAACATAAGTCAGTGGAAAGTTAGGGGAATTTTATGAGGAAAGAAAAGGTCAAAGAGTTATATAGCACTGTTTTAGTTTTTCATTACAATCTTAAATCATGTTAATCTAATAAGTACTGCATATCCTTTTAAGAAATGTTTAAACCAGATTAAGCCTTATTTTAATGGAAATCAATATGTTAATATGTAGATATACATATAGACATCATTTGTGAAGTTAAACAATCTTTCATTGAAAGTTTAATTTCAGGAAAACATCTTTACAAATTACATTGCTGTCTAACCTTTGTTCAGTAGTAGTAGTAGTGGTAGCAGCAGCAGCATTAGTAGACATTTCTATGATGCTGTAAGGTTGACAAAGTGATGATATGCACATATGCTTATATCTTCTTTCTACCTAAAACCAAGCAAGATACTTTAATTCTTGGATACTTTTTTGTAACCAAGATCAAAATTGTTTTTAAATTGTAATATTGACTTTGGAATTTACCACTGTTTGTTCCCCTCAACTGTTCTTTTTTTTTTTCCCTTAGCATTTCCTCTTTTGGTACCTCTATTTCTTCTGCTGTTTCTCTTTATTAATGATTTAGAGTAGATATCTTGCAAATAGCCATTTGTCCATTTTCTAGGGACAAATAAAAATGGCAACAGAAAGAAAAAATGATTGATTTCTTTTACTAACTCTTAACCTCCTGGGGGAAGTCAAGATTAAGTAAATTCTATTCAACATACATCAAGCACCTACGTGTCATGCCTAAGGGATATATAAAAATTAGGCAAGATAGTTCCCTGCCTTATTCTCATTGAATTTAGTACCTCAGAGATTGGTGGAGCTTTCTGGAGGGATGATAATTTTGTTATATTTACTTGCAAGTGTAATTTGTATAAATTATGAATTTTATATGAAGTATAAACCATTTGTATGATTCCTAGAATTGTTCAGATTTTTTTAAAAGCATATACTTTGGTACTGTAAGGATCCTTGGTTTCATTAGGGATGGATTGGCACTGTTTCTTTTAAAACCAATTGTAACCACTGCCTGCCTTAGTAGACAGTCTTTGTGACTTGTTATGGCTAAAAAAATTCTTTATCAAGCTATTACAAATCTTGTTATAGATAAATAAATGGTGGGTATGAGAAGAAACAAGAATATCTTTTGTGCATGCTCTCTCTATATAAAGTTAGATAGTTTAAAAAGGAAACCAACCAGAAATCACACTTAAAAGCTCTAACTGAAAGATGAAAATTGAATTTTCTTTGTTGGCTATCTCAGCTAAACCATGCAGTTTTTGTGGAATACATTTATATTCATCAAAGAATGCCACTTGAGAATATTTATTATGCTTTCTGTGGTTTAACCAGTATCCTCTATGCCCTGTTTTCCACAATTAAACAATAATGATAAAGAATTTCTCAATTTTGGGCTTATATTTTATGCTTTAACCAAGTAAATAACACTTGATTTTATTCTAATCCATATTAAATATGTGATGTGACATAAATTGACAATAAAACTTTCAATTTTCCCACTAGTACTTTTCTGAAATAATTTGACTTTTTTGGCTCTGACTGTATCCATCTAGACCAATTTCCCACCTAATGCAACTTTTATAAGTAACCCTTCTATAGCATTCCTGATGATCACCCAGAATGACTGAGTGCCTCCAGTGATGAAGAGTTCATTACCTCACAAAGCACGGTTCCGTTGTTGGACAATGTACCTCAGAAGGTATCATTGTTGGACAAGCTGTACTTGTTAAAAAGTTCTAACAAGATGTAAGTTCTCATAATTTTTACCAAGTGGCTCTAGTTCTGCCTTCTGGCACAGCACAACACAAATTATACCTCCTTAGATTTTTGAAGAATGCTATCATGCCTCCCATGAATCTTCTTAAAACTAGACATAGCCAGGTATTTCAACCCTGTGTGTTTGTATAGTATGTGTGTGTACATGTGTATGTATGTAGGTACATACACACATACATATTCTGTGTGTGTGTGTGTGTGTGTGTGTGTGTGTGTGTGTGTGTGTGTGTCTTAAACTCACCATACTGGATGCCTTCCTCTTCTAGATGTCTTTCTTTAAAAAAAGAAATGCCACCCACTCAGAGTTAAATAAAATCTGAGAGGTAATTTTTAATAGTTTGAGATTATAATTTCCTATAATTTAGAAACTATAGTTCTATTATGTTAGCTTTTTAGCAGCTACTTCACATTATCAACATATTAAGTTTGTGGCCAACTAACACCTTTCTCCCAATTTTTTTCAGTGAACTACTAATAATCCATGTCTTCTTGAACTTCATACTTTTTTGGATGATTTTCTAAATTTAAATGTATTATATAACATCTTATGCCTCTTTTATGTATTTATGCTTTAGTTTGTATTATAGCTAGTTGTATATGTGCCACATC